AGAGCAGTGGCCTTTAAAGATTGAAGCCAACCACTCTTAAACCTTGTGTGTTGCGAATAGGAGTAAAGACAATCCCAAACTCTCTAAAGATACATCAAGGAGTCTCTGGGTTGAGTTTCTGCTTGGTTGAAATGCTAAGTTCAGGCATTCTGTTGTTTGGCACCATCCACACATTTGATGAGGGCAGTGACCTGGTGTCCACCAGTGAGCAGGGGACCGGGGACCCTTTTAGAGAATACCTATGTGAACACAGCAGTCCATAGTTGTCTAGATTCCATCCCTAGCAGGGAGCACCCAAAGTGAAGTCGTGTAAAGTCAGTATTTTTGTGCTGTCTTTACAGTCTCATGACCTACTGTATAACCTTCACCTTAATAAAGGTCTGGTCTTTTCTTTAATGTTTTAATTAAAGGTGAATACATGAACCTTTAATGTGTGTTAACATTTTTGTGTTTAGCACCATCACATACACAGCAAGAAAAGATTAAAGAGTTTGTACTGTTGGCAAAAGCAGGGGGTATTTCATCTGAAAACTCTTATGAGGCTGAGAAGGGGATAAGATTGCTACCGTTAAGTTATTGAGAGACTCCCTCGGAAGACCAGCTCCCTCTGTGTGGCAGCTGAGGGGAGTGGTAGGACCCAGGGGCAGAAGGTACAGGAGGCAGATAACAGCCTAAGAGTAGGGATAGCAGCTAAGAGTTTGGCCAGAGGAGTAAGCCGAAGGTAGTAGGTTCCCTGTGTCTGGGACGCTTCCGAAAGGTGGTGTGATGGTCGACTCCAGGTGGTCGCAGAGGCTCTGAGTTAGATGAAATCAAATGTGTTCAGCTATTACAGTCGAGGAATCACGATTTTAGTCTGGGAGGAACAGATGAGAAATGTTATTTTTGAAGAACGTTTAATGGCTAGAACTTTGTCGTTTTATATAGTACCTGCTGCCAGTGTTTGGGACAGAAATCTTGTGACCAGTTGGGCTTTTTCATGGACTGATGCTTACTTCTGGCAATGTTTATGCCCTGATAAGAGGAATTATTATTTAACCTCTTGTTTCCTGTTTCTTAGGGTCATTGGTTTCCTGGAAGCTATTGTTTGCATAAAATTTGGACAAGATCTCTTCTCTAAGACCCAAATACTCTATGTTGTGCTTTGGCTTCTTTGCGTGGTAAGTCATTACTTTTTTACCGAAAAGTATTGGCCAAGTTTCCATGATGTCTCTTTAAAAAGCAAACAGAGAGGCCACAAGTAGGTTGGTGGTTAAGGCACTGGACTCCCACATGGCTGACTGTGGTTCGAGTTCCTGACCTGGTGACTTGCTTTCTCACTTTCCCTTTCTCTCTCTCTTTCTGATCAAATTAAAAATGAATAATAAGAACAACTTGAATGAAATAAATGAATCTATAAACCAAAAAAAAAGGCAAACAGAAAACGCTCTTATGTACCAAAGTTTCTTAGAAATTCATAGAAGATGCTTTCCTGCAGTAACACAAGATTCTGAAATTCAAGAATAAAACACAGACGACCCCACAGCATCTGAAATGGGTCATCTGGCAGTTTCCAGACAAATGCCTCCTGCAGGTGTGTCCACATGTGCTGTTTCAGTCTTGGCTATCGTCTGCACATGTTTGGCATTGAAGCACTGCCGTGGAGGACAAGGGCAGTCACAGTGCATTTCCTACATGTTATCATCAGGCCTCACACATTGAACATGGGAATCACCGCACACAGGCCTATATACAAAATGACGTTCTATAGCCAATGTAAGGTGATGTTGAAGGTATCAGATCATGCATTTGATGGCCCTGCGGGCCAACTTTATAACCTCAGCCCGGGTAGGATAAGCTTCTCTTCTGAAAGGAAGATGCCTAGGGCTCCTGCTCTCGGGACTTTTCTCTCACTTTTAAAATGAAGTAAAATCTTACCAAGCTTAAATATTTTGTGACTCACCTTCTTAATTTAATTGTTCAAAGTGACCTTATTTTACAGTTAAGCTTAAGATTCTTTACCTGGTCTAGAAAATTAACTCGGGCTTTTTTTTTTTTTTTTTTATAATCATAGAAAAGTTTAAACATTTTTGCAAATAGAGAGATGACCCCGCATGTGCCTATCATTCAGTTTCAGCTCTTATCAACTCATTATTCTCTTCTATGAGCGACCCACTATCTCCCCCTGAATTGTTCTGAAGCAGATCTCCCTTTAGTCTTTCAGGATATAGTTTCCAGAGTAAAAATGGTTTTCTGTTCAGCTATATCTGAAACAGAATTAGCAATAATTCCTTAATGTTATCAAATACCTAATGTGCTCAGATTACTCATTTTTTCATGAATGTCTTCTTTTTTAACCATCATTCCTATCGACATTTACTCATTGTGGTTGATTGGCATGCTTTTTCAATCTCTTAAGCTCTAGGTGTTCCTTCTCCCTCTACCTCTCTCGCACTTGCAGTTTATTCGTTGAAGAACCCAACTCCTTTGCTCTGTAGATTTTCTCACAGTCTGGATTGTACCAATTTTATCCTATATTGTAATTTAACATATTTCTTTGTCCACTGTATTTTCTATAAATTGGTAGTTGAATCTAGAGGCATAAACAGATTCAGGTCTTTTTTTCTTTTCTCTTTTTTTTTTTAATTGGCGAGACAACTGCATTTTTAAAGTACTTTTTACTGCCTCCCATGGTCTCTATTTTTAGGGTTACTTGTTAGAAATCCTAACTGCGCCAAGGCACCTTGAGCCTATTCTGCTCTGTTTGATCTTGAACCGTAAAAGGGAATAATGATCTCCTTTGTATTTAAACCACAAAATTTATGCTGAAGTGTATTTTTCAGTCCCCAGGAGACTTTATCGTTCAGGGGAAAATGTCAGGTGTGCACAGAGATTGTCTCTGCACTCTGCTCGGATTTCTCTCTGGCATATTCACCTCCTGTCTGGACTAATGTGGCCCTGACTACATGAGCAGTGGGGCTGCTGTCCTCACCTGCTACTAGAGAGTCAGAGGCAGGCAGGCAGGAGTCCCGGGAACATGGCAAATGGCTCTTGTTAGGACAGTGCATCCCAGGCTTCCCAACGCCTACCTGCTACTGTCTCTGGGGTGCATCAGTGACCAGGAAGGTCTTCTCGGGTTCTAGATCCGAGAGACTGTCTCTGGTCACCCAGCTTGCAGGGATCCCTACAGTCTCTCTTGAAGTTTTAGAGACTTCCTCTCTGTGTGCTGCTGATTTGACACTCCACATATACCTCCTTATGCAGGTGAGTTTTGATTGCCTTCGTTTCTGTATGATTGTAACTCACTGAGGACACGAACTACTTCCTAGCGTTCCCATCAGCCTCTGCTTCACTTAGCACGGTCCTTTTAGTCCGTCAGTCACTCACAGCACACAGGCTGAGTGCTCCTCAGTGCTGCGCACCGTGCTGCCGTCACGCAGACAGACGGTGGTGACTGACGGTGGGGTTTGCTGATGCTCACCGTGTGCCAGACCATTCTAAGCGCTGTTCATGAATTACGTATTTGATCTGTATGCTTTGAGGGGCAGGATTTCTCATCCTTCCTTAATAAATGAGGAACCAGTGGCACAGAGAGGTTCACTAACTTGGCCAAGGCACACAGGTGCTAAGTAGCAGAGCCAATATTCAAACCCACAATCTGGCTCAAGCATTTATATTCTTAATCACAGCCCGGGTCAAATGGGAATTAGATACGCAAACTAATTATGTTACCAGGTGATAAATACTACAAAAGATGTGTGCATACAACTCAAGGACACTAGAGAGAGCAGCAGGTGAGCCAGAGAGTCGGTGAAGGCTCCTTGGAAGGGAGATGTGAGAATGTGGGAAGGTTGCAGTCTAGGGCTGGCCATCGCTGTTGACTGAAACCCTAGGAGGCTGCTTTCTCTTCTTCACCACTCTTCAAATTAACTGTCACCAATTCTGTTCATTCTCACTGCCTCTGTGGCTGTCTGAACACCCATTATCTCTCTGTTCTGCCCTTCAAATCCATTTTTCACACTGCTTCCAAAGTGATCTTCCATAATTCAGACCTCAGTCTCTTTCCTCTGCATGGGTGGGAGTTTGGGGGGGCATAATGATATAATCTTTTCCCCATCCAAGTTCAAGAATAATTCAAAGATAAGCCAGCAGGTCAGCAAATGGCATAGCAGTTACATTGTTGGACACCTACATGACCACAGTTCACATCCCAGACCCAGTGACTTGAAAATCATATTGGGCGTGTGTGTGTGTATGGTTGCCCAAGATCCCAGGAGGAGAATGGAGGAGAGGGACTGTGGTGTGACCATCCCCCCTTGGGGGTGATTTCTCACTTTCCCTCTTATTGTCTCTGTCTTTCCCTTTCTCCAGTGAGTGATGTGCACTAAGGAAAAAAGCTCTTTAAAAAAAAAAGAGAGATGGGGCCAGCAGATGGCACAGTGGTTAAGTTGCTGGACTCTCACATGGCCAACCACGGTTTAAGTCCCAGACCTGTGGCTTGAAACTCATGCCGGGTGTGTGTGCATGCCCAAGATCCTGGGAATGGAGAAAGGATTGCAGCATGGCCATCCCCCTGGGTGGTGATTTCTTACTTTCTCTCTCAGTCTTCCTGCCCCATACCCCACTACACCCCATTAGCACATGCAGCCTGAGGCAAACACCTCTTTAAAAAGTAGATAAGCAAGCTGGAAGAAGGATAGAGACTACAGTAGCATCTTTATTGCTTTATTTATTATTACTGAGAATTGATATTTTTCGGTATCAGCTTTAGATAGACAACAATAAGGGGCCTCCTAATAGTGACCCTGGAGTAAGACACTCACCCCCAGCCCAGGAAACAGGCCTCCCAGGGTGTGTGTGTGCAGGGGCTGCCCCATCTCCTCACAGCACGGCAGCCACAGTGGTGGGAAAGACAGCTAAGACAGAACTTTTCTCAAGAGGGACCCAGAGGAGCAGAGAAGCTTCCTCCACATAGAAAGGAACATCAAGGAGGAGGGATTCCCACCAGGAATCCTACCAGATGAAACAGGAAATCTTGCTTGTGGTTTAGGACCTTCATTAACCGGAACATTCCATCTTGTCCACGCACTTGTGCTCTGTCCCCAGGCTGCATCAAACTCTGTTCAGTTACTAAACAAATGAGCCTTCCAGACTTCTCTCGCCTTTACCCGTGTTGTTTCCTTGGCTGGTCCAAAAATCTCTCTGTCTTCTCAACCTGGTGAAACTTGGATGCCAAAACCAAAACCTCATACCTTCCATGAGATCTCCCCTGATGTCCAAGATGTGTCAGGGTCAGTCCTACTTAACTGACATAACTCTTTTGGCCGTAACCCCAAGGAAATGGAATTCGTCTTGTGTATCTCTGTCTCCTCAACCTTGCACTTCTTGCTCACAAAGTATAAGTTTAATTCATCCTTTTGCCCACTCCCTGGCTGGAGCACAGTGCCTGATACAGGGGAAATATCCAGCAGACATATGGAGAATGCTGGTATAAATTCAGGAGATAAAGACTGGGGGAGACGTGTCCAGATGGGCCAATGGACAGGACGCCATATAAGTGCCCAGTATCAGGAAGATTTGGTGGCCTGTGGGGAGCAAAAGAGAAGAGAGGGAGGTGGATGAGTAGGACAGAGCTCTCCTGTTTAGGAAGGGCTTTGCGTGTCTGTAGCTGCAGCCCCAAAAGTTTTTTAAGTGGGAAAACAGCGGGGTCTGCTCTGTCTCAAGCTCGGGAGGGTGGGAGTCTGGAGGGAAGATCAGTTGGGGCAGCGAGTGTAGTTGGAAGGTGCTGCAGGGTCTTGGTGACAAGCAACTGAGGTGAACCAAGGCAGAAGCTGGGAGACACAGAGGAAGGGCTGGAATTGTTTAAGAAGCCGACTCAACAGACCACCACTCCCCTGGGATAGCTGGGAAGGGACTTTAGTCTGTGCAACTGAGTGGCTGTTGGTGGTAACACGGAGGGGAGAATGGAGAAGCCTGTCAGAAGGAGACAAATTTGGTTGGGGAGAATTGGAGATTGAGGGTGCTGGAATCCTGTTTCACTGTAAATTCTAGTCTGTCCAGTAACATTGGATCAAAAGCTTTGAGCTGTCCATGTACGGCGCAGGTAAAAGCTTGGGATTAGGTAAAGAGGGGAGCATACTTGGACGAGGAGAAACTGGCTAAGGATGGGACTCATTAGAACAGCCACATTTAAGACGGCAGGTGGAGGATGCGGAACAGCCGCAGGAGAGTGGGACTTCATGAAGATAGCCGGAACCCTCCTGCCCTCCCCCCTCCAATTCCAGTTAAGAGTGGAGAGACAGGGACCAGCAGTTAGCATAATGGCTATGTCGCTGAACTCCCATGTAGTCGACCGCGGTTCGAGTCCCGAACCCGGTGGCTTAAACTCACGCCAGGCGCATGTGCGTGCGTGTCCAAGATCCCAAAAGGAGAATGGAGGAGAAGGGATTGTGGTGTGGCCATCTTCCTTGGGGGGTGATTTCTTGCTTTCTGTCTCTCTGTCTCTCTCTGACTTTCTGGTGAGTGCATGCACCCTATAGAAAAAATAAATAAATAAATAAAAACCTCTCCAAAGAATGGAGAGACACAGGGAGGTGCCAGGCCTTAAAAGACGCCTTTGGATGGGATGATTAGAGCCCCTACTCGTGGCCTGGCACATTTACTAGTTCGAGAAAAATGAAAACAAGGTCCTTGCATGTTTTCATATTCATGGTCTTTGTTAAAGAGCAAAATTGATCTCAAACCCAGGAGTGAGGTAGACATTATTCAGTAAGAGAACAGTAAGTCAAACTGTGCCTCCCACGCTTCTCAGAGACACAGAGGCCCTAATTACTCCCCTGCTTGTTCAGAAAATAAACACAAAGCTTGAGATTGATGTGGAAGCAAGGACCCCGCATGCTGCTTCAGAGGCCTCTGCAGCAGTGTTCATGCAATCAATCATAAATTCCAGTGCTCACCACCGTGCCATGAAAGCCACGTAGGGCATTCAACCCCCACTCACCCATCCCTGCTTGCCACCACACCCATGGTCAGAGGCTGCCTGGCTCTCATCCCATGGTTTCCTTTTCTTTCCCTGTCCTTTGTTTAAACAAAATCTGTACAATTGCTATTTGAGATCCAGCCTTGACATCTTAAGTAGGTTTGTGCCTAGATTTCCACAGGTGTGATTGCAAACCCATAAATTTTAAGCTCCTGTCTCCTGGGACAAGTGTAAAAATGGGCCTCTTGTACCCAGGTGAAGTGGTAACTTTGGCAACCACAGCAGGCCCTGGGTGGCGAGGGCGATGATAAGCACCTGTGGCTCCCCCCCCGCCCCGTGTTTGTCTGACTCTCTGCTGTGCCAGCTGCCACTTCTTGCCCTCCCAGGCCTGGGTCTGGTGACGGAGGAGCCCCGCGCCTGCTCTCTAGTGGTCAGAATTTGCAATAACAGTCTGGAGAGATCTGGCTCCTGTGCCCAGCCCACAAGCCACCACTAGTTTGGGGAGGTGGAACTAACCTCTCCACCCTACTGTGTGAGCCCCAGGAAGGCCTTTTTCCCTTTGTAAAGGACTGAAAACATACGTAGGCCCTCACATTGCACATCTTTTCTACTCTTTCTCATTCTGTACCATGAAAATGTGAGTGTATGTAAGAAGTCTGGGCAAGTATTAGAATATGTTAAAGGTTAAAAGTCATCTTTATTTCATACTTGTAGTATATTCATCCACTGCCTAATTCTTGATGGGGACTATGGGATGTTTTTTCTTTTTTTTAGGATTTCACTATTGGGCAGATATGCTCTCCAGTGAAAGAGAGAGAGAGAGAGGAGGGAAAGTGAGAAATGGCCACACCACAATCCTTTTGCCTCCATTCTCCTCTTAGGATTTTGGGCACACATCCTTACATGCCCAGGGTAATTATCAAGCCCCTCAGTCCAGGCCTCAAACTGCGGTCGTCCCTGTGGGAATTCAACACCCTAACCACCTGCTGGCCTGAGCTCTGTCTTTTTAAACCCCAAATCTGTAGATTATGCCAGTGTGTGCATTACTATAAAATGAACTAGTACTGGTGTTTCTTGCTCTCCCCACTGTGTACTATTCCCACTGCACTGGTGCCTAAGGAAAGGCCAGTAGTGACACACATACACTGCTAAGACACTCTGCTCTGCGAACTAGGATTACATGGGAGGCCTGAGTTCAATTCCAAGTCCAACCTAAAAACTGGTGTGGTGATGTCTTTCTGTAACCCTCACAACTCGAGGGGCTTAGGCAGGAGATCACAAGCTCGAGGTTATACTGGACAACATAGTGAGACCCTTCTAAAGTTGGGTATGGTGGTCACACCTGTGGTCCTAGCTACTTGGGAAGCTGAAGCAGGAGACATCCAGTCTTGGGAGGAGGTAAAAAAAAAAGATGATATGTACTCAGCAGACACCTAAACATCACTCACATAAAGGAACAGGGCCACAACTAGACTCTAAGAATCTTGGATCCAGTGGCATCAAGAATCCTTCCTGTCTTTCAATCCGTTTTCCCTCACACTGGCCGTGTCTTTGGGAAAGCCTCTCAGCCTTCATTCTGTTCTGTAAAATGAAGGAAGTTGAAATGAATGGTCTCTAAGATGACCCTTTTAATTTTTTAAGTTCTTTTAATTTTTTAAGTTTGTTTCTTTCCTAAGAGTGAGAGAACGAGAGAGGGACGAGCATCCTCGACAGGCTCTCACCCCACAATCCCCCCTACCCTGGCCTTCCCAGCCAGCCAGGATTGTGGGCATGCACATCCACTGTGTACAGGTCAGCCAGGAGACTGAACCTGCTCCCTTCTGTATGGATCGAGCATCACTTGAGCAGTATTACGGCTCTGCCACCAAGCTGCCCTGGTGACCCTTTTAGCCCTAAAGTTAGAAGTCTTAGAAAGAGCTAAGGTGATTCCCTCAAGATGAGAAGGTCCCACCATAATTTCACAACTGTCCCCATGACTGGGTCAAGGTGCCAGGTGTCCACAGGGACATGGGAGAGTGTACAGTAGGAGAGATGGAAGCTAGATAGCCAGGATGGTGTGGTGTGGGTGGGTTTAGAATATAAAGAATGCAGAAGGAGTGGGCAGGCACAACCTACAGCTTGGATGGTGAGGCCTTCAGACATGCCTCTGCTCTCACTCCCCTGACACATGCTCTCTCTCTTACTGCCCCCTTTTTTGCTACTCAGTCTCAGCAGCCTGAGACTTTCTTGGCTTTCAGTTTTGCAACTTTTGATTCTTTTGTAAGCTTCCATAAATTAAAGTTGAACTTAGGGCGTGGTGTGGTGCAGGTAGGCAGCGCAAAGGTAGAAGTAAATATTCCCACTGCCTCTGGGACCCATGGACCATACCTTCCTCATTTCACTCAGGGTCGGTCTTGCAAAGCCCTTCTATTTTCTCTTTATTTTCCTAACTACTTAAGCAAGAAAAACCAAAGGAACAAAAAACTGAGGTCAGGGTGGGGCCACTGACACTCAGAAGCCCTGGGAAGCAAGGACAGTGTTGTCCTGCTGTACTCTACCATTGACACATGTGTGGTTTTTCGTTCCGACAGCCATTGTGACTGCAATGCCTTTTCACTTGAAATCCTCTTCATCACAGCAGTGGACAGGCTGAGTCCTTTAACTCTCTCCAGGGATGGGGGCAGGGTGGAGGGGAGGAGCCATGAACATCAGAAATAGAGTATGGACTCCTCTGTGTCCCTTTGTAGAACCTGCAAAATCTGTGTCCTCTTTGCAGAACCCACAGAGCTATTGAGAAAATATATCCCACCTTATCCCACTTCTGAAAATAGTGTTCATTCTGATAGTGGAGCACTGGGTAGAAACTATGGTCTCCTCAGAGCCTTTCTTGTCAAAAGCATCATCTGTCTCCCTCGTCCCCCCAGTCCAGCTCGTCTCTTGGGGTCTGTTCTCTGCCTCTTCCAGCCATTTCATAGCCAGCTATCCTGAGGACAGAAGGCAGAAATGCATCGAGCTGTGTTGTACAAGTTGGGCATCCCCAATCCAAAAGCCCGATATCCAAACTGCTCCAGAATTTGAAACTTAATTGGGTGATAACATGATGCTGCAAGTGGAAAATGTTACCTGGCCTTGTGCCAGGTTGCAGTTCAAATGCTACAAAACAGAAAGAGTGTGTAAAATTATGTCCAGGCTGTGTGTAAAAGGTGTTTATGAAGCATAAATGATTTTGTGTTCAGGCCTCATTCTCATCTCCAAGATTATGTATATGCAAATAGACATTTTTCCCAAATCTGAAAAAAATCCAAAATCAAAACATTTCCAGTCCCAAGCGTTGCTATAAAGGATGCACAGCATATCTGAATTCCCTCTGCAACCCTGAAATTCTGGGAAATGAAATTGTTTTGTGCAGCGTCGTTTATGAAATGATTCTGGCCTTGTTTCTCTCTTCCAGGCTTTCACCACCTTCCTGTGTCTGTACGGCATGGTTTGGTATGCAGAACATTATGGTCACCGAGAAAAGGTACAGAAGGAAAGGCAGAGAGAGCCTTTATTTAAAATGACCTCTGGGCCAGCCAGTGGCTTAGTGGTTGGGGTGGCTGGATCCCACACAGCCGATCTAACGGTTCAAATCCCGGACCCGGTGGCTTAGAAAGCACAGTGAGCATGTGTGTATGTGTGCTCAAAACCTCAAAAGGAAAAGCGGAGGAGAAGGGATTGCAGCATGACCTTTACCTATGGGGGATACTTTCTCACTTCCCCTCTGTTTCCCTCTGGCAAGCTCACTCACCCTCTAGCAGATTAATAAAATAAACAAATGAATGAAACCAGTTCTCCCTGGTTGGGTTTTATCCCAGAACATTCACAGAAGAGCATGGCCTAGCAGGCATTGTGAGACCACCTCCCATCATGCCACTGGAGAACCTTACCCAGATCAGGATCCCACATCTCAGTTGCTATCCCGCATGTGACTTCTCTCTGCCATGTCAGTGTTTTTGTTCTCCTTCTGTCAGGAGTTGAAAACCTAATTACATGTTTGTTTAAAGAAAAAATTGTAGAAAAGCCCTGGCCTGGTTTTCAGAAGGCTGTGTTTTATCCCCTCTTCTCATGGTACAGGCCTCTTGATGGCCCAAGTGGGGCCTCCCTGCCTGCAAAATGGCTGCCCTGTCCTCCTCTCAGTAGGTACAAGGATTAAAGTAGACAACTGATATGAATGGGTTTTAAAAAATGTGACAACAGTGGAACCAGCAGATTGCCTAATGATTTCATCACTGGACTCCCTCATGGTTGACTGCAGTTTGAGTCCTGGACTCGGCAGCCTGAAACTCAGGCCGAGCACATGTGCATGCATACCCAAAATCCCAACAGGAGAATGGAGGAGAAGGGATTGAGGCGTGGCCATTCTCCCTTGAGGGTGATTTCTCACTTTCTGTCTCTCCAGCAAGCGTATGCACTCTCAGGCAGAAATCTCTCTTTTAAAAAAAAATGTATACTTACCTGGCAGGGGAGATACCATGATCACGAAGGTGGTTTTCCCAGGGCGAGGCTTATCCATTGCACTCCAGATGTGCTGACCCCTGCGATTTCCCCAAATGTGGGAAACTCGAGTGCATAATTTGTGGTAGTGGGGGACTGCGTTCGCGCTTTCCCCTGAAAAAAAAAGAAAAAGAAAAGAAAAAAAATGTGACAACAATCTTGTCAACTATTATTTTTTTAAGTAAAAGTAATGCTTTCAACCTTTGGTCATACGTTTAGTCTAAGGAACTAAAGATGTTTTCTAGAAGATATTCCACATTCCTGTGCAGAAAGAAGAGCCTTGATTTTGTAGCTGAGAAACGTAAGCACAAGGAAGTTTTTCCACCTGCTAGCGATGATCCCAGTCCAGGAAAAGCCAGACAGACAGCCCTGTTTCCCTGCCACTCCTCCCAGGGAGGATCTGGAAATCCATTACTGAGTCTGTTTTTCTCCCTAGACCTATTCAGAGTGTGAAGATGGCACCTACAGTCCAGATATCTCCTGGCATCACGGGAAAGGGACAAAAGGTATCTTTTCCTTTGTTCATTGTTTAAAACTTTACTAGGTCCTCTACCCATGTAGGCCCACTAGGGAGATTTGGAGTCAATATTTATTGTCTGAGTGTTAATCACACATGCTTTGAAGGGTCTCAGACCTACTCACCCAGTGCCTCCTGTCACTATTAGGAAACATTCAAAGACCCGCCTGATGGCGCAGCTGGCAGCACACTGAGCTGCGGTGTTGGCAGCCACATGGCCAACCTCAGGTTCAGATCCCCCAGATCTACCTAAAACACACTGGACGTAGAGCCATGTGCCCAAGATCCTGAAAAGCTGGGGGATCAGGAGCTGGGGATGGTGGCATGACAAGACTCTTCTCACTCTCTAGTATGAATAAGATAAATAAAACTAGAAAAAAAAATAAAGAAACATGCCAAATGTTCACAGGGTCTGCCTAAGAAACTTGCTTTGTAAAAAGAGGCCCCATGTAGCTCTGCCTTTCCTCAGGCAGGAATATGTGCCGAGCACCCTGCTGTGAATGTTCTCCCCGCAGCTTTCATCAGGAGTGGGAGGAGTTAGAATTATGTATCAGGAGGTAAATGCTTTCAAAAGAGCCTTATCCGTTTAATTGCATTTATTGAAGAGGCAGAGCAGTGAGACAGGGATGACCATAGTGTAGTTAGGGAACCTCCTTTGACCTCTCTCCAAGGAGCATTTTCCAAAGATTTGGGACCACCTGGTTATTTATTTATTGATTTATTGATCAAAGTTTATTTATCACTTCCAAGAGCCAGAGAGACATAGATAATCCAGCAGTGCTTAGACACTGTGACCCACCCCAAGCCAACCAGGATCGTGTGCCCACATTTGCCTAGTGTGTGCAGGAGGTCTCCAGACACCAACCTGGGACATTCCCACGTGAGCCAGCCTCGCAGAGCATCATGTTTCTCTGCTACACCACCGTCTTCCCCTACTTGCTGCTGCTTTTAAAGAATTGTATTTGTGGAATAAGGACACAGAGGAGGCTCCATTGGACACATAATTGCTTATCGGGCCTTATGAGCTGACTGGGAAGCTTGACTTAGGGTGAGAATATTATGAATGCAAGAGAATGAGCAGCCCACAGGATTTCTTAGAGAAACAGTGGACCTAAGGAGAAGAAGACTCTACTCTTGTGGATGCTCTCCTGAGTTACTGGGGGAGGGGGGGGTCAAACTAATTAACAATCTCCCCGAGACAACACTAGGGTAACTTTTGGGGGTAGTTTCTCCTGAATCAAGGAGCCTACTGTGGAATGCTGAGGGAGGTGGGCAGAGGGCTTCTCCAGACCTGCCCTCCAGATCAGTCTTCACTCAGCACTTCCAGATTCTCCACTGAAAGATGAGTTCAGCCTTAGTAAAGATAGATTTAGTCCATGGAATAGTAAAAAAAGAAATGAAAAAAGGCTTCAGAACAGTAAAAGAATGTCAAAGACTAAGCCAGATGCTGCTTAAAATGGAGATACAAACCCTGGGAACTTTTTTTTTGGATGGCTGTCTTAGGTGGAGGTTTGCATGGAACTGGATCTAAGCCCTAGGGTGGAGAGCTCTTTGGCTTGGCTGCTAGGTTAGGGGTTGGCCCGAGGCTTAGTCTGAGGGCAGAGCTACCAGCCCATTGTGGCTGCATGGCTCCAGGGCTGTCTGTCACAGATAGCAGGGGTCTAGTTTTACAAAGACAGCCTCCAGATTAAGCAATAGAGGGCATGTGCTGTCTTTAATTTTATAAAGTCAAGAATTCTTTCTAGTTTAGAGTTGAAAAATGCTGGTTGTAGCAGTTGGCCAGGGTAGGCTAGACTCCATTGTGATTTCTCTTTTAATTGTCACTCGTTTTTGCTTTATTTCTCAACTCTAGTCCTCATCAACATAACCTTAGTCTACCCTTCTGAGCGTGAGCTTCAACATAGGGGAACCACCCAGACTTGGTGGGGCTGTTGCCTCGCACACCCAAGGCACCAGCCAGCTGTGCTAGTCCAGGTTTCCGTGTGCTTTGCCCTAATTTATTAATGAGGCCACTAGATGGAGTGCAAGTATCAGGAAACAGCCTTGCTTCACTGGCAGTCCTGGAGCGGTCTGGAAAGGGAACTGCCACAGATCACAGGCGTGAGCCCTGGGAACCAGCAACCTGTGGTGACAGTGTGTTCTGATTCCTTTGGCCAGGTTCTGAAGACAGCCCACCCAAGCATTCAGGCAACAACGAAAGTCATTCTTCCAGAAGAAGGAATCGACATTCCAAGTCAAAAGTCACCAACGGCGTTGGAAAGAAATGAAAGACGCTGGTCAATCAGAGATGTTCCAGAGAGTGCCTAGAACTGAGGGGGGAAGGAAACTCTTTTGGACCTCCCTGTTAGGAGATCAAAACGTACAGCGCAAACAGGAAGAGGACAGGGAAGTGTGGGGGGGTCATCATTTGCGAGTGTAAGTCATGTTCCCCGCAGACCTGGCATCATCAGGCAGATCATTGCCTGGGGTCCTTCGCCAATTGGGGTCTCAACTAACTTCAGCACTTGGCACGTGGTCACCGGTAGCAGTACATTGCATTGGAAGGAAAAGATGGCTTTTACTCAGAGTTGCCGTGAGCAGCTCTGCGCTTGCGTGTATTGTGGATGTGGTGTGGACATCTTCAGACAAGCACCAGCCGGGCGGTTCGTGCACTGGTCAGCCGGCCTTTCCGTTTGTACGAATCTATCTTTCCATCTGATTGATTTGTTTTAGGCTACTTTTCTATATTTCGTTGTTTGTTTTTAAGTCCAGATACTTAACAGCCTTCGGAAGCCATGGCTGGAATTGAAATTGAGAGAGAGTTTTCCTTCCTTCTAGAGAAAAAGAGAGAAGTGAGCATTTGCATTCTCATTGAGCAACCTCAGCCCCCTCTTTGAGACCTTCAACCATGTGGCGGATGTCCAGCCATCTGAGAAGTTAGATGCCTGCCTAGAAACCTGGGCTTCAGATCGGAATCTTTCCTGTTCCCTCCCAAAGGGCATTTGTCCAGACATATCCACAGTGCACAAAAGCGAGCCTGTCGGAGAGGCAGTTTACACCCCGGCTTCTCCCCGAGCCAGGTGCCTTTTACATTTGCTTTGTTTTCCTTCCATGGTGTGTGGCTGACATTGTCTTTTAGTCCCACGTGAGGTGCTGGTGAGTATTACCTTTTATCCGTGCCATGCGTACAACATTACCCCATAGGTCACCACCTCTGATGGATCCCTGATTTAAATAAAACCATTCACATTAAAGCCTGTCAAAGGTTTGTGTCTGTAAAGTGCTTGTTTCTTTATTTGTGTCTTTTTGATTTTTTTTTATTGTTTGGAAAGCAATTACTGTATTTTTCAAGTGACTGTCGGATAATATATGTGTATAATGTGTGTGTTTTAGATAGTGAGAAAGAAAAAATGTGTAGTTTAAAGGTCTAGGAGCCATACAGGTGCTGTTTCTCAGCCTTCCCAAGTGATCAGTAGGAAATGAACAACGCAGTCATTGTCTTTCACTATGGTGATGGTTACCAAGTTGGATTTTTTTCCCCTCTAACAAGAGGCCAATACCCGGTTGATTAGCTTACAGATATAAACTCACTGAAAGCAATCCTTTTGTTCCCTCATTTCACAGAGCACAAAGGTTTCCATGTCTTTTCTGCCTTGAAGGAAATCTTTAACCGTAGAAATGTCATGTTTTTCTTTTTCTGCAGAAGACTTCTGAGGTGAAGGGGTTAAATGAATCATGCGAAGCTGGGGTCATATCCTGTGCTCTGGGCTCCAGCGACCCCTTGGTTCAGAGCCACCCACAGACTTGCCCTAGCAGCTGACGAGCAGTAGGCAGGGAGCCTCGGCAGTGACTCGGCTCACGTCACAAGCAGGGACCCGGCTGTGATGGGCCATGGCTCTGAGCTGTCATGTGCTGTACAAGCAGCATCTGCATCCTTCCCATGAAAGTATTGAAGAGATGCAAAGGGGAATATGTTGTCTAAACCTGCCTGCAGTTTTAAATTTTAACTTGCCAAAGGGTGCATACACACCCCAGATAGAGGGAAAGTGAGAAAGCCCCCCATGGGAAATGGTCACACCGCAATCCCTTCTCCATTTCTCCCTTCTTTGGGGCTTTTAGGCACACACTCATGTGCTCATTGTGCTTTTCAGGCTGCTGGGTTTAGGACTCAACGTAGTTGGCCTTGTGTGATCTGGCCACCTTCACCACCATGCCACCCTGCGTTTTATAACCCATGAGAAAAGGTCTTATTTATTTATCATTGTCTTTTGCTTTATTGAACACTGAGTGCTAGTGAACACCATCTACGTCATCTCTCCTTCCCCATGCCTGTGGCACATCACTGAGTGTACCCGAGTTTTCCGGGAGAGCTGAGCCTGCACTTTCACACTCCTCTGATTAATTAATATCGTAGCCCGGCCTGACTGGCAAAGCTTGTGTCCTTTCTCCAGATCAGCGTAGAGGAGGCAACTGTTTAGAATGCGGTGAGTTTGACGACGGTGGTTAAGGAGGAGAACAAAGTGCACGGGACAGTTTTTCCTCTGTGGCTTTGTAGGAAGCAGCCAGGAAAGTCCTCTGATAAACTCACAGTTTAAACTACCTTTTTCCCTTTTGGTATGAGCCCTTGATTGTAGTGAAAGGTTACCAAACCAGGGCTTTTAAGACTTGGCCAGAACCTTCCTCCAAGAAACCGTACTACTGCGTTTGCATACTTTTTCTGTTCGTTTCTATGGAAATGGCCCTACGTGTATGAAAATTGAATACATGTTTCTGAATCATTCAATATCTAAAATTATTTGATTACCAATTATGTTCACCATTTGCACCCTCTTAGAAGACACTATTGTTTTGGACAAAGGCCATGAAGAATGTTTTACGTGTTTTCCTCCTTAAGCATTGTGTTGAGTGTTACTTTTCCCTTTTTGTCATTCTTGAATCTTCCCAGGACCACTCTCACTTTTCTTATGTATTTTTAGCATTTGTAGAAGCCTTGACCAAACAGCTGCCACAGCACTGTGGGGATATTTCATTGACCTGGAAAACATTTTGATGATACAAGGCAACCTATAGATACTGGTCTTCATCTAGACTGCGTCTGTCAAAAGCTCAAGTACTCACCCAAGAGAAATAAAATTCATTACCAAATCCTTCAGACTCAGCCCTTACTGTTTTCCCTCAGGAGCTGCTGTGTAGCTTCCCAAGGCGATAGCTCTCTTTGTCAGGACTTGCCCTTTGGAATTGGACTCCTGGAGGAGCTGGGATAGAATAGTTCACTTAAGCCTCATGCAGTCACTTGAGAAAGGGTGAGGTTGAACGCAGAAGGGGAGACTAAACAGAATGGTTAAAAAAAAAAAAAAAACGTAACCATTGGAAGCCAGGCTGAAGTGAGCCCTTTAAATCCAGGAGATTTACTTTCATTGTCCTTGAATCTTGTTCAGTAGCTGCAGGGAATTCTTAGGCCAACCACCATGATTAGCAAGTGGATGTTGTTTGTAACATTCTTACTGCAATGACAACTAGAAGTTTCACAGGTGGGGCTTGTCCTATGGCTTGGTAGTTAAAGGAACCAGATCTCACGGTTGGAATCCCAGCCCCAGCAACTTGAAAAGCAAACTGGGTACTGTGTGTGTGCCTCAAGTCCCAACAGGATGAGGATATAGAGGAAAATGGATCGGTGGTGTGCCCACAACCCACTGGAGTGGTGCTTTCTCCCTCTCTGTCTCTTTGTCTCTCTCTGGCAAGCACATGCACCCTCTAGCTTGCTTTTTTTTTTTTTAAAGAGAAAGTAATAAACACAGGTAAACTATTGGAGTGCTCAGTATCTTTTCCATTTATATAATTGCAGTCCAAATGTAAGAAGAGTCAAGACCTGTTTATCAGTGTTCCAGTATATAATGTGCCTCAGTGGGTGTGTGCATTTCAAGGATTAGATTTGAGATCTGGTTCTTTGCAAGAATATTAGTAATGGCTGAGACTGATGGGTTACAGTCTGGTTGCTAACCTATAATAATTTTTTTAACTGCCAGAAGATACATCCCTCACCAGAGAGGGAGAAAACACCTCCTAATCCTGTGGTCACACTACAATACTTTTTTCTCCATTTTTCCTTCCAGTCAGGATTCTGGGCATGCACACATGTGCCTAGCATGTTTTTCAAACTAACAGGACTGGGATTTGAACTGTAGATGCCATGAGAGATCCATAGTGTACAATGCTTAACCACTGTGCTACGGCACCAGGCCAGTAATTAAAATTTACAGCATTTCCTCTTGTCCCTTCTTATTCTAAATTTGATGGTAGTACTATCACAAGTGAAGGCTGCAATTTATTTTTAATTAAAATTTGATATTTGATGCATTAACTAAATACAGCTTTTTCATTTTGCTATGTTCTGTGAATTTAGAGGAATTATTTATTAATGTCTGCAGAAGTGGAGGGAAATGAGCTAGACATGAACTTTTATAATTTGTAGGAACACTGAATGTAAAAACCTTTGTCTTCAATGTTCACTAAAAAAACCAAAAAGCACCTTTTTGTCCATTTCAGAAATTTCATCTGTGACTTTGTCTACCCTAACAGTCTTAAAGTTGCCTGTCCTGTGATAAGACTTTCGTTATCACAGACTAACCCAGTTTAAGGGTTTGCATCATGTCCAGGTTCGTCCAGGGCCTCACATGACTAAGCTTGATTTATACTTCTTGATACTCAGATAGTCACAAAACTAGCCAACACTCAGTCTATATACAGCACACCTGGCTAGCGGGAGAGTGGATGATAGGCAGGCTTCCTGCCTGCAGTCCTGTTAGAAAGGACTCCTAAGACCCCAGCCTAACTGTTCTCTTTGAGCAGAAAAGGGTATGGGCAAGTCCATCCCCTTGTAAGCCCAATGGGGACAGTAACATGATTCAGAAAATAGAATTTGCCTGAGGGTTTTGCTTTCATAGCTGATGCAGCCAGCTATGCAACCACTTTAACTGGTCTGGGTTTATGCTTGTACTTTTTAGTTACTGTGTTTTGTTTGTTATTGGAGTGCTCTGAAGACATTGTGCTGCTGAGGGCTTACAAATTGTGGGCACCAGTAATGCCCTGCAGTGGAAGTTTTGCTCAGAGCCTCCTGACCTGCTCCTCCACGCAGTCATCCCAGGGCCCCAGATACCAGTGTTTCAAATAGGGTGTATCTCCCTCTGGATGCTGGGTAAAGGGGACTCTTATGGCTTCACAAACCATAGGAAATGGGTTTTCTGCCTTTGAAATAAAATTGTTTTAAAAAATGTGAGACTAAGAAACCAGATGCTGCATTCTCATGTTGACGTATACACACAATAGCCCTAATTACGGAGTCAAATTGCTTGGCCTGGTTACATAACAGTCCATCCTGGAAATGGACTGTGACCCGACCGTTCCCACTCCTCTGACACAGGGCTATACTCTGACTCATTCTACGCAGTGGACATTTTACATTATGGGCTGGTTAGGTATTTCACGGGTACAGCCTGGGAAAGGCTTAGGAAAGATCTCTAGCTTTCAAAATGCTTAGGATCCTCCACCTTCTCTGAGAGTGGATGAAATGCAAACAGAGCAGGAGAACAAAAATTCATGAGGACTGCTGCTAACAAGTCTAGACAAAAGCATCAGAGGACTGCAGCCTGCACAACAGCCCTAGGTGGGGTGCTCAGAAGACCCCTGAATCTTCCTGGTGGACATATGCTTTGCTAGTTAGCCAGGTGCCTGAGCCATATCTCCACTAACAGGGAAAGGACCGTCATTGAGAACCTCCTTCGTGAACTTTGTGCGTGTGTGTGTTCACACACATGCATATGTGTGTGTGTGTAGGGCGCGTGTGCTCGCCAGAAAGACAGAGACAGAAAGTGAGAAATCACCCCCCAAGGGGGATGGCCATGCCGCAATCCCTTCTCCTCCATGCTCCTCTCGGGATCTTGGGCATGCACACACACACACCCGGCGGGAGTTTAAGCCACCAGGTCCGGGACTCAAACCATGGTCAACTACATGGGAGTCCAGTGACATAGCCATTACGCTAACTGCTGGTCCCTCACACTTCTTTTTTTAAAATTATTTATTAAATTTTATTTATTCATTTATTTATTTTTAGTTTGACAGAGAGAGACACAGAAACAGAGAAAGAGGGGAAGTGAGAAAGCAAGGCACCAGGTCCAAGACTTGAACCATGGTTAGCCATGTGGGAGTGCCCAGTACCTTAACCACCATGCCACCTGCTGGTCCCATCACACTTCTTTTTTTAA